GCGGCCCGAAGCATGGGTAACCGGTAGGATCCGGACAGCCCGCGCTGGACTCTTCTGATTAGTCCTGCATGGGGGGGGTTGGGAAGTGACCGAAAGTGAGGGCAGCGTCCAATGGGTCGGGCTTGTGTGAAGGACACGGGGTTCGGCTTTGAAATCCCGCCTGAAAGCCATCATCGACATGTCTCACACCCAAAGCCCTCTTTTTTCTTATGCCCTGATGCCCAAAAAAGTGGCGAGCCGGCGCAAGTGGGCGCTGGAGCACACAGGCAAGCAGAAGTAGAGGAATTCTTCCGTGCAAGCCCGTGAGAAGTTTTTAGCACCCAAGACTCGAGACCCAATAGTCAAGGACTGAGGATTGACATGTGACGCGACGGGGCCATTCTTGTGGAGACTAAATTCCCGTAACTGGGCTCGTGCTGCGCAGGCAGGGCTCACAAGAAGGTGCATCATCTGCAAAACTGCTGCTCACAGCCGAAAGCTTCGTGGCTCTTGCGTGTGAAGGTGGCGCTCAGCTACTGTGGCGCTCATGCGCCCAAGCATTCACGTGCGAAGGCAAGCCAAGCCGTGGCCGCCATTGGACCCGCACACTGGATGGAGCCGAAGAATATCCACCGCTCCGCTCGCGCAGCAGCTGCAAGGGGAGTGTCAGCGACCAACTCGTCTCTTTTGACAGCCGCTGGTTGAATCAGCAACAACAACTCAAGTTGCGTTTGCGACGACCACTGATAGCTGCGTCTGCGACAACTCGTTCGAGCATTGTTTGACTTAAAGAGATGAGGCCACATGTCTCAGGCTAGCGCGAGCTTGCAACTGCAAATAACGCAAGCGTGCACGGAGACGGACCGCTGTGACTGGGAATCGGCATGGCTCCAAACAAGCGCAACCTCCGTGCAAGGCCGAAGAAGCAAGCAAACTGCAAGGCTGCTTCAAGCCCCGTGAAGGCCCGCCTTCTGGCAACCTGCAAGCCACAGCAGTTGGAATTACTGCCGTATGAATGCTTACTGACCCTCGGGCTGGTTTGTAAGGAGCCAACGTGGCCCCAGCTCTGTGATTGTGCGGGCTCCCAGCTGCGTGCGCACGTCGCAAGGAGCCATACGGCTTGCTGATTTGAGCTTGCAACTGCAAATTACGCAAGCACACACGGAGATGGACGGCTGTGAGCAACAACTGCTCAGGCTAACGTGGCCCCAGCTCTGTGATTCTGCGGGTTCCCAAATGCGCGCGCACGCTGCAAGGAATGACCATACGGCTCGCTAATTTGAGCTGTGACTGGGAATACCTCTCTGCAAGGCCAAAGCGGAGTCCAGTAAAGCCCGCCTCCTGGCAACCTGCTTGGACTTACTGGGAAATGGATCTATACTGACGCTCGAGCTGCACGCAAGTGGGCAAAAGCTCAACCAAATTGCTAGCGAGCCAACGTGGCCCCAGCTCTGTGATTCGGCGGGCTCCCAAATGCGCGCAAACGTTGCAAAAAACCATACGGCTCACTGATTTGAGCTTGCCACTACACATAACGCACGAACACAAGGAGCTGGACGGCTGTGAGGAACAACCGCTCAGGCTAACGTGGCCCCAGCTCTGTGTTTTTGCGGGTTTCCAAATGCGCTTCGAGCTGGGACTGGGAATCGGCATGGCTCCAAATACGTGCAACCTCCCTGCAAGGCCAAAGCGGAGCCAGTAAAGCCCGCCTCCTGGCAACCTGCTGGGACTTACTGGGGAATGCATCTATGCTGACACTCGAGCTGCACCCACATAGGCAAAAGCTCGACCAAGTTGCTCACGAGCCAACGTGGCCCCAGCTCTGTGATTCTGCGGGCTCCCAAGCGCGCGCGAACGTTGCAAGGAACAACCATCCGGCTCGCTGATTTGAGCTGTGGCTGGGAATCGGCATGGCTCCAAACAAGCGCAACCTCCCTGCAAGGCCAAAGAGCCCAGTGAAGCCCGCCTGCCAACCTGCAAGCCAAGATGGCCCCGTCTAGAGCAGTCATTGGACTGACTGGGAACTGGATGCTTACTTACACTCGAGCTGCGCCCAGATGCGCAAAAGCTCAAAGTTGCTAACGTCCAGTTTCGCCCCAGTGGGCCTCCAAGTTCCTCCGAAACAGTTTGCCCCCAACATGGAATTTGCCAAGTAGACCTGTGGTGCACGAACGGCAGGCCATTTGAGAGGAAAGCCCCAGTGAACGTCACAAGTACTCCTGCGGAGCCTGCAGTCCAACCAGGTCAGAGAAAGAATAGCAAGCGCAACTCTCTCATGATGGCGCTGCACTGGTGGCAAACTCTGTTGTCACGTAGCCCAGTCTCCACTCTGTGAAAGACCTGCTTGACGCAGCACGGTCTGCTGTGCGATCGACGCATCGCCTTTTGGCTACTTGCAAACAAAGGGGAGACTAACTGTCCGTCCCCGGTGATCAGCGCTCGAACCAGTGGAACAAGTGGCGCTGCGTGTTTGTCCTCGCAAGTGTAAGCACGTGCGCGACACAAAAGCATGTTTGCTCGCACTTCACCGTCACCACATGGCTGCAGCTGTCTGACACTACCTGCTGCTGTCATACAGCTTGTTGTCATCTGTGATGCCCGCCTCCCGCGCTTTTGCTTGAACTGACCGCATACACCTTGAGCAAAACTTGGCGGCTCATCCCAGTATCAAGATCCTGCTTGGCTGGCAAGCTCAACTCATTGCCCGGGAACATGAATATTGCTCTTGCTTTGCCCGCTTGCAGGTCAAAGCCAGAAATGGCAGAAGGTACAGCTGCGTATCGGCTTCAAGGCTGCGTCTGCGTGTTGACATTGAATAGCGTGACTGAAACAAACAAGCTGCACAAAATCGGACAGCGGGCGCTTTGTCCTGCAGCTTGCCAGTGGCAAAAGGAAACCAACTGAGCTTACATGATCCCATCGAAGGTATGCGAAGTTGCACAAAATCGTTTGCGTGCAAGTTTCCAATTAAGCTGTGCAATGCAACAACCTTCTCAGCAGCTACCAATACTAAAGACATGACTACTTGGAGCGCTTGCACATATGACTCGGTATCTGGACTTGGCAACGCCGCGCTTGCAACTATGGAATCTTCCGCTTCTGGCAGTATGACTCCATGGATTTGGGGCAACACACTGTCATCAAGTCGCACTGGCACCAAGCCCACTTGACGACTCTATGCTCTGTGACGTGGCCTCAACGGATCGTGCAACAGCAGCCTCCCCACGGACTCAAGCTGCAACCACTGCTATCGAAAGCTGCGCGGCCAAGAAACTCAGGCAACATCTGTGACTATGCATAGCATGCTTCTCGAGAAGGCTAAGATAGCCCAACACACCTACGTCCCAGGAAGCCCGTTTCAAGACAAGCACTTCATGTGGTGCGCGAATCCGAGACTGCCAACTCAGGAAGGAGCATTGGCAGCAGGAGCCGCTGGCGAAACCAGCCTGCAGGCTTGTTGACAAGTCAAGCGGGGCAACCGTCCAACGCTGGAGTCACAGAGCAGACAGCTGCACGAAACTTTCAGCATGATCTTCGAGCTGAGCAGTTTCTCACACATCATGATGCTGCTTGTGGTGACAATGTTGATGCAATGAAGCTGTGGCTGGGCCAGAGCCAACGAAAGCTTGTGCAGGAGGATGTATGTCTAATGCCAGGAACACCAGGACAGGTAGAATTGCACCCAAGGCCACGCGCGCGTGCCCGCCTAAGGCAGCGCTTTGGCAGCATGGAAGCAAGACCGCAACGGCCGGCGCGACCGAACACGCAATGCCTCTGCTGGTTGGAGGTTTCGTCTCAAGGGTAAGTGAGCCAAATACAGCGCAGAGCAAACGCTCTGCGCGGGGCTTCTATATTTGGGACCATGTTTACGGCCCGTCATGCTGGCTGACACTGGTTGCAACGCGAGGCTTGGAGCTTGCGCAGCTCACAAAACGCGACTTGACATGAGGTTTCCTGGAACCTGGCGCGCTACAAGTAGTGCTGTGCAACATGCCAACTGGCTTCTGTGGAATGCCCACATGACTCAAGCCAGCTGCAAATTCAAGCCTGCGTTGCTGTCCACCTGGCTGTTAGGCCGCGACCTTTCCGGCAGTGGCCAAAACTCAAAGTGGACCGTTCGGCGCGCAGAGCATGAAGGCTTGTGCTGGAGATGCTGGTTGAGAGTGGACGTTCTTGCTCAAGCGAGCCATCGCAACTCTTGCTCTTACTAGCAGCACTTTGCAGCTGAAGGCAAGCAGTCGGTTGCTCTCCTCAAGCAGTGCCGTGCTTTAAGGCATGTAGACCGCCCGACAGCGTGTCGGCGCACAGCATGTCGCGAAACTCTCAAAGGAAATTACTGCACACCTGGAGTCTCCATGACCCTTTAAAAATAGGTCCATGACCCCATTATTTTAGGCAATGACCCCGTGTTGAAAGGATCACGGAGACTCTAGGCAGTCCCGCCTGCACTTGCATGGCGCATGCGCGGGCCACTGCGCCCGAGGCATCCCTCAGCCCGAGCAAGTGTCTGGTTGCTGGCAATGGCCCTACGCCTCCAGGAGGGCGACTGGCAAGGTCAATGCTGGAGCCACTTTTCAGAGCTGCCAACTGATCCACAGCGACATCTTTGAATGCATTCTGCGTCGTGCACAAGCAGTCTCTGGCTTACCAGGCAAACTCCTGCGCTCGTGGTTTCATGCTGCACATCGCTGCAGCACTCCAGAAAGGTCGGGGCAGCGGGATGGGGTGATCGTGGCCCGCTTGCGCTGGGAGGCTTCAAGCCGCACGGCCAATTCAGAGGCAATCCTGCGGCTGCGCAGACACAGCACCTCAATAGTTCTTAGATTTCGCTGGACAACGTCATGGTGTGAATGGCGGATATATATGTAGTTTCTCTTGGAAGTGCTACAGTTGGCACCCCGCAACACAAGTCAAGTAGTCACATATTCTCCAAGCCAGGCTGTGGGTCATACTGCCTGTTCGGAATCTCTTTGACTCGCGATGGGGTTAAGCAATAAGCCATGACATTGATAAGCCGTTATTCAGTTATTCTTCTTTTTCCACACTGCCTTGAATTCGGTCAAGTCTTTGTGACAAACAGCTCTAGCCTGGCAAAGCCGCAAAAAAAGCACCACAGGACTGTCCTGGCAGCGCAAAGGGCCAAACAGCTCTAGCCTGGCAAAGCCGCAAAAAAAAACACCACAGGACTGTCCTGGCAGCGCAAAGGGCCAGGAGCACGCGGCAATGTCGCATTCTGAGATCCGCGCAAAGTCAACAAAAACAATTGGAAGCGCTTGCTCACATGTGCTTAGAATCCTGCGCAGCTTTGTAGCATGACCAGAGAACAGTGTGCGTTGCAGCTTGTGGCTGCATTTTGCAGCTTTGGCCAGTGTCAGCATTGCTGACGGCATGGGCCCCGAAAACCCAAGAGGGCTGCAGTATTTCCATGGCTTGACTGCTTTCAGACCCAACTTCTTCTTTTGGAAGTGGAACAGCTTATGGGCCATGAAATTTGGAGGTTGGGCGAAGCGAGGCAAGGGGCGAGCGCTGCCCAGGGGTGCCAAGGAAACTTGAGCACCGTTGACCTTGCTAGGCCCCATGTTTGTTTCGTGGGAACAGGCGCTTCGAGCGTTGTGCGACTGGCATACGATTGCGTTGCACATGTGTGCTGCCGGTGGCTTTATAGCAACCGAGGGGGTTGGCGGAGCTTCCACACAGGAAATACAACAAGACAAATCACCATCAAAACAGGTTGCCACCTCCCAGGGCTCAGCCTGTCCCCGACGTTCTCTCTGGATTTGATACGGTTGGCGGGACGGGTGCCGCTCAAACTTTGACGACTTCGTCGTTGCCGAACCTAGATAGTCAATACTCGCCTCCGTTCAGAGGTCGCTCTTTCGATGACTGCTTGCCTTCTTTGGAAATCTGTCGCCACGTGTGTCAAGGAATCCACAAACGAGAAACGTTCCAGTGCCACAACAAGGGCTTGCTCTTCTGTGCGTGTGGCATGGTGGCCAGTCGGGACACGGCCACGCCCAAGAAAGAACAAGCAAACAGATTCACCCACAAGGTGTGAAACTGATGGGGCATGCGCCTATCTTGGCGGCCCTTAACTGGGGATCGCGCAAACGGGTCCGTTTCCCGGGCAATTTCGGGCGGTTTTTTTTGGCTGGCGCACGCCTCTCAGCACATCCGCGTCGGGCTGTTTTGTTGTTGCCAGAAACTTCCTGAAATCCAAACCCGTTATGGCTTCCCCCGTGAAGAACGGCCATGTCCACAAAAGTGACAACGGGCCCTTGCCGGCCAGCGCAGCCAGTGGCCCTCAAAAAGGACCAGGCATGCAAGGAGTAAGGCTTGGGCTCCAGTCCGTGGCGCGATCTGATTTTTGACCCTGTTTGTGGTGAGCCTGTGTGACTCTGGACATCGTAGCAGCTCCAGTTTTTCTTATTCAGTAGTGACACTGGCGCAGAGTCAAAAGAACTCTGCAAAGCGAGATTGTAGTGGCCTCGGCACAAGCAGCTGCCTGCTGCGGGTAAATTGCTGCGCTCATGGCTTCCTGGTGCACATCGCTGAAGCACTCCAAATCGGCGCGGCAGTCGGGGCAGTGGGAAACTCCCATTTGATGTAGCGATTGTTTGCTTCTTTCGTAAGACCAAGAGGAACTTTGAGCTGAGGCCCTGTGATCACTCAAGTATTCGACACCTACCGCGGGCTCTCGCTCAAAGAGATACGCGCCGTTGCGAGTTCTTGCGCAACGCGCGCCCGGGCGGACGTCGCCACGCCTATGTTGTTGGATGAGACGAGCTGGTTCAATAGGCCTTTGCGGCGCCCAGAGTTGCCACGACAACATAGGAAAACAGGAAACCCCAAAATACGCACACGCAAGGTTTGGCACTACGTCGACATCATGTGCGGCTAGGGCGGCCATGAGGCCTGACACGGCGGACATGGATGGCTGGGACATGGAACCCGGCGCGGCTCAAACCAGAGCATGGCTCCAAACAAGCGCGGCGCCCAGTGACACCTGCCCTCGGGGCCCCATTTGTAGGAGCAGCGCTTGGACTCACTGGGAATCACTGGGAAATGGAGCCCCACTCACACTCAAGCTATCACCACGTTTGCAGAACTTCAGCCAAGTTGCTCACCACCTTGGACTTCAGACACATTCAAGTCTGGCCTTGCAGAATTTCATGGCGTTCTTTTGTCGGAAAAAAAAGAGGGATGCGACCAAGTGGGGTATGGATAAGACACCAATTCCCTCGTGGTTCTATCCGGATTGCGTCCTTGATATTGGGAGAACAAATGTACCAGCGGCTGCGGCGGCTCCGGGAAATTTGGGCGCCAGAGCCGGCCTGCCTATTCTGCTGGTTTGCAGTTGTTTCTTGATCGATACGTTGCATCTAAGCATCTTGATTTGTCATTTATGCGTAGCCGCATGGCCAGCAATGTCACGCAGCTTGAATCTGCGCTGCTTGTAGCAGTCCCCTACTACGGTTGATCCCTGCCTGCAACAAGTCAATCGGTCACGCATCCCCAAAGTCTTCACACTGAATGCGGCTTAGTTGATCCTTCGCCAGCTGTCAGTCTGTCTTGTCCCTTCAGAGAGACCAACAGTTTAACATGACTCACCAAGACGCAAACCACTGGGGGTTCAATCGGACTGAGGCCGAGGCGGCATATTCGTCTGCTGTGATCTGGGTGCAATGTTGGATCGCATGTTTTACATCGCCATGGGCCCTAAATGTCCCAATCTGCACTTCAGCCTTGCTTCTACGCACAAGAGGTGTGATCTGCATGCCCAAGTTTTCTGCAATTCCTTGGCACAATGAGACTGAGTTCCGAACTGCCCTCGTGATTGAATGTGCGCATGTCGACCCATTCGTTCACTGTGGAACAATTAAACTCTCTGTCGTTGCCTCACGTTCCTGGCTGCGTACCACCTGTTGCTCTGAGTCTTGCGCAACCCTTTGTTTCATCCGCGGTGTCAGCTGAGTCGGGAAGCTACTATCATTCCCGCCAACGCGTTCAGCCCAGCAGGCTTTCCGGATGCCTGCGAACGAATCTTGCTGGTGTCGGGTGACTTAGGGCATCAGCCTCGCGCGGATTGAGCTGCAACATGGCTGTACAATAGATCGAATTTCTCTGAGCAAAATCTCGGGCATCGCATACAAGACATACTTCAGCACTAGCATGGTGGAATCGGAAACTGGTAGAACCCCTAGGGCCAGTTTACTTTCGGTGGCTTGGCTTTCGAAACCATTCACCTGTCACTCCCTTGCAACTTGGGATGTTTGCTTCGTAATTCTGTGCTTCCTCGGCTCCACACTACCTTGCGCAAGCGAATCCATACACCCTGCAAACCGGTTGTAAACTTGTTTATCCTTCTTGATCTTGTTGCTTGATCAAAGTCTTCAGGACTTCAGACCCCACCCCGGCTCACCTTTGGTCTTCTGGGCTCTTTGCCTTTGCTCCAAGCTCCAGCCCAGGTCGGGGCTGACCTTTTGCTGACGGAATAAGACTTGTTGCTTCTCAAAGGAAGGGGCGAGTCTTCGTCACAAGACCCTGTCGCCGTGCAACAGGAATCACATTTCTATCGATTCGTCGCCAGTTGGTTCTGGTCTCTCTTGACCATTGCTCTCCCTTGAAGCATCACGGCCAGGAGCCCAACAAGGCAACCCCTCTGTTTATTCAAAAAGGTCGATCGAACGTGTCAAAGAGATGGTCCTTTGAGAGACAACCAAAAAGGCTGACGGTTTCGGGCACTGCTTCTTGTGCCCACTTGCTTTAGTTGATGAAACGCACGGCACGGGCCGGATCTCGTATCCAAAATTTGTATTGGCACATCAAGGCAAGAGAAACCTCTACCATCTGGCATACGGACTACGTATTAATCCCTTTTTCAACTGACTCTATGCAACGTAGACAGAACCTCCCCATTTGACCGGACAAAACGCTCTATCAAAAACCAAGGTTCTTGCGCTCCAAGCGGCTCGCTGGCGTTGTGGCAGGCGCTTACTGCGGCGAGAATCGTCACGACCTCAGTTGGCTTGGCTCAAAAACATGTACAGAAATGGCATGGTAAATGGAACCAGAGACGAAAACCTGCGATTTGCCTTACCTCTCGAAAAAAATGGGCCACAGCCAGGTGCTTGGTTATGAAGGAATCAAAGGCGATCACCTTTTGGGGCTATGACCAAAAACCGACCATGGGAAAACTAAAGGTCAAAAGGTCGGCTTTGTACAACTGAGACTACTTAGGGATGAGATAGTAATAGGTGGATCATGGTGGACAATGGCTTCTTTTCTGGCCAACCCTGCAAGGGATCCCCTGTAAAAAGTGTCAAACATCACCGAGGCGGACTTATTCACCAGGGATCTGATTTCACTTACAGTTGGGTGAAAGTAGATGGCACACCCTTCCCATCTTGGTTATATCATCCTCTTTGCGGACAGAGAGGGAATAGTGCCATGCAATCGCGCCGGTGTCAATCTGGCAATGATTTGAAGTCCCATGCAAAACACTGAGCAAAAAGCACAGGAAACATGTCGCGAACATGTGCCCTAAGCATCCAAGGCCTCTCTTGGTGCTAGGCCTTGTTCTGTTGGAGAGGCCTACTTTTGGAGGCTCCAGGGCCTTGCTAAGTAAGGCCTTAGGCCTTACTAAGTGAGGCCTTCGGCCTTAAATAGTATGTTCCTTTTCAAGGCCTAGGCCTTGAAAAGTATGTCTTGACTGTGTTTGGGGCCACCTTTTTTCTTGAAGGGATCCAGCCACTGGAAATCGCCCCTGAGCTGCGAGCCTTTCTGGCAGCTAGACCTACGGCCTGGCTAGGAGGTGTTAATGCAGGGGCAACGCATGTGTTTGGCACGTGGCTGGGTACCGCCTGGACCGTGGACAACCCGTGGATTACCCGTGGAAAGGCCTTGAAAAGCCATGGAACGGCCCCGAAAAGTCATGGTTTGCCCGTGGACAGGGGTATATTTGAGGGTACCGCTGAAATGACACGATCCGGGACGTGTTTTGTTTGGGGGCCCGTCCGAATTTGAAATCCTTGGAACTTTTGCCTGCGTGTACGCTTGGTGGAGCTTGATCCATGCTCTCTTTGCCATCTCGCGCTGGTTTAGACGCTCTCTGAAGATGCAAGCGATAGCGCAAGGGAAACAGACACGTGATACACCCAAACGTTTTTTTGCATAGGTAGGGTGCATTTGTTCGAAGTATAGTTATATAGATTTATGTGTATTTCGGCTGGTGTTACTAGACGAAACGGTGACTTTTTAGCAAAACGGGCCCTGGGGAGGCCTCAAAAAGGCATGGTTACTCAGCATATATACTCGGCATGATACTCAATGAGGCCTTTGAGCTTGTTGAGACCTCTTGTCAGAGGCCTATCTTCGAAAGGCCTTTGGACTCTGAGGGTGTGACTTTGGAGACCTATCAACTGGGATTTGACGCACATACTAAATCATGGAGACATCCGAGTTGGGTATGTTCTAAACCTCTTTCACCTTTGTGGGGGCGACTATACCTCTTACCCACATGAATTTGTCGGTGCTCAGACTCCTTTTGACAGCTCTTGGGAGGCGTTCCTGTCCTTTCCGTGCGGCTTTCGGGAAATGAATAAACTCCAAACCCCTCAGTGGAAGCGACGAGCGAATGTATCTA